ACTGCACGGCGCGAACTCGCCACACGCAAGCCCAGAAGGGCTCGCTAAAGGGCGACACTGGGGCCAGAGACGCTGGGCAACCGGCCCCCTGTTGGAGAGCCGTCACCACCGTTAAAACCACGAGTCGTTACCACTAAAATCTCAACAAAGAGTTTGGGGGAAGGCGACAAAAAGCCGCAGCCTGTCGGACAGGCCAGAAGCAGCGCTGAGGACACAGTGAGGAGAGACGGGGAGGGAAAGGCAGAAGAGGATGAAGGAACGTCTGCTCGGGGGCGGAAAACCAACCGTAGCTAGGATGCCACGCGCAGTGAAAATACCTTTCAGGAAATGGAGGAAAGGCCGTTACAAACAAAAACTAGGTTTTCCACCAAAGAAAATGAGTTTTCCACCCTGAAAAATGACCCTGAGGCAAAAGCAACGATTCCGGCAGAAGGTCTGGAACGCCAGACGCAGCAAGAACAAGGGCAGCAACCGTGTGCATGAATCCAAGCAAGCGGCGGCTGAGCAAGGTCACACTCTCTCGGGGGCCACACAACAGGAGCTGCACACGACACACAGCACCTCCGCCGGAGGGGTGGTCTGGGGTGTGGCTGAGGTCTCCGTATCGGTCAGGGGACAGCAAATACAATGATTCACTTCGGAACCTGCTAAATCTGCGTGTTAAAATGTCTGGGATAACTCCTAAGAGAACAGAAATGTACTACATATTTTCCAAGCCAGTGGAGAATAAACAATTGAATTCTAGAACACTGTGCTTAGTAAATCCAAAATAAGGCAAAGAGAGAAAAAAAAACAAGTAGGACAAATAAAAGCACAAAAGCAACAGTTAAAAAATAAACACGTATGTATGTACACGTGTGCAGGTGTCTGTCACTGTGAACTATGTAGTATGTTCCCAGCGAAAGGCTCAGACCTGTAGATCTGACTTTTTAAGAGTCCAGCTACATGTTGCAGATGATACACCTCTCTTAGACATAAACGTTCAGAAAAATGTAAAGATAAAGAATGAAAAAAAATTAGGCAAATGCTCTTTAAAAGAAAGCTGGGGCAGCGCACTAGCGTCAGACGAAACAAAGACGAACGGCTTTTACTCTTTCCAGGACACCACCGGGTCCCCACATAGTGACAGGAAGAGGCAGCAATTCTAAACTTGTGCTCACCACTGACTTGGCCGAAAGAATCCAGAGCAAACACTCCCGGCAGGAAGGAGCAGGGACCAGCCGGCGGCGCCACGCCCTGCGCTCAGGACTCAGGCCAGCAGGAAAGGGCGCCCACCTGAGGGCCAGCCCACGTGAGTGAGCAGAGGAGGAGACGCAGGGGACATATGGAAATCACAGGTTCTTCACGACACTTGAAAAAGAGAAGGCCAACACAAACCTAAAAACAAAACCAATCCTTCCTCTGGCGATGGGAAGTTAGAGGGAAGAGCCGGCACCTAGCTGCCCTTCCTTTCCCCGGGTATCTCTGCACAACCAGGCAGCACCGGCTGGTGGGAAAGCTTATCTTTACGGACAGTCCTAGTTAAATGTGGAACAAATGACAAAATTCAAAAGCCACCCTCTGCCACCCGTCATGAAGTCACTGACTTGGCCACAACTGTCATGGCAGTGAAGGGTGAAAGGGCAGGGCGGCACGGGCCCCCCAAGGGAGAAGCCGTGAACAGGCAGGACCAGGCTGCCTCCACCTGGACCTGCAGGTCGCCCGCATCTGCACCAGCAGAACAAGGAGTCAGGATCAGCCTGGATGCACCCGGCACACCCACGCCCACGAAGGAGGCCTGCCAAAACCGCTGCCACTGCCCCTGCTCTGAGCTGTGCCTCCCTGGCTGGCAGGCACCACTGTGCTTTGAGGCAGTCTCCCGAAAGGCCTCCAAGCTCTCGCATGGAAGGCGGGGCCCACACGTTACTCTGTGTAGGGACCGGAGATGGTGGAATGGGTAGAAAAGGGTTATAATTCCAAATAGTGGCTTTTTTTTTTTTTTTTTGAGACAAAGTCTCGCTTTGTTGCCCGGGCTAGAGTGAGTGCCGTGGCGTTAGCCTAGCTCACAGCAACCTCAAACTCCTGGGCTCAAGCGATCCTTCTGCCTCAGCCTCCCGAGTAGCTGGGACTACAGGCATGTGCTACCATGCCCGGCTAATTTTTTCTATATATATATTTTTAGCTGTCCAGATAATTTCTTTCTATTTTTTAGTACAGACGGGGTCTCGCTCTTGCTCAGGCTGGTCTCGAACTCCTGACCTTGAGCGATCCACCCGCCTTGGCCTCCCAGAGTGCTAGGATTACAGGCGTGAGCTACCGTGCCCGGCCAATAGTCGCATTTTTTAAGAGAGAGGCAAACACAGCACAGGGTTGTGGCATCCCTTAGGGCTATGCAAGGAAAAACGCCATCCTGAAGATGCAAACACTGTATCTCCCGAAAGTGAGAACGGCACCGGCTCTCCTGGAGGGAAAACCCAAAGACCTCTTTCAGAACAATCTAGCTGGTTCTACGCCTATCCTCTCCACACCCCACCTCCAGGCCCCCGTGAGAGGCCCCTCTGCTCCTTCACAGCCCACGGACTTCGCTGTCACCCTCAGCACTAGTGGGAGGCAACGGCCAGCCACAGTCACAGCTGCCCTGAGCCCAAGTCCAGACCCGGGACCCTGGGCCAGCTCAGCCCTGCCAGGGTGGACACTTGGCAGCGCTGCCTGCCAGGGCCTGGTGCTTACCCAGCGCCACCTTCATCAGCATTGGCTGCATCACAGCCGCTCTGGACTTGAAAGCCCAGCACCCTGTTGATGCTGTGCCGCCATGGCTCCACGAGGCAACCGAAAAAGGAGTGACAGAACACGTAGCACGTCAGCACATCCTGCGCAAGAAGAGGTGCACTCGACTCCAGCACCTGGCCAGCCGTCTCTCCGAGCACGCGTGGTCCACGGGGAAGCAGGCCAGGGGAAGGAGGGCACTGTGCAGGGCGTGTGCCAGCCAACGCGTTGCAGGGAGTGCTGCACGGACCAGACTGTCGCCAGGGCCAAGCCCGCGTGCGGCCCAGGGCCCCCGACCTCCCTCCTCTCCTCTCCACCTCCAGACCCTGCCTGCTTCTGCTTTCAATACGCCCCACACCCCGTTCCTCCTTCAGGTTCAGGGTAGATGTTACTCCCTCACCCCACGTCCAGCCCAGGTTAGGCCACCATTGAGAAACTGTCCCAGCACCTGACACTCAAGTTAAGACCGCAGACCTGATGGCGACTGTCACCACACGGTGCACCTGTGCCGTCGTGCTTCCTCCGCTGCCCTGCAAGATCCCGATAGCAAGAACTGTCCCTGGTTGTTCCCTGTATCGGTGCTGCCCTAAATGTCGCGGTCAGTAATGCTGGTTGAAACAGTCACACATACTCCAACAGGCACTCCGGACCCTGGTCACTGACAACACCTTCTTGGAGCCCCTGACAGCCGTGACCCAGGGCCAGCATGGCTGCTTCCTTACAGGTCAACGGGCACCCCTGAAACACCTGTCTACACATGCTGCAGTGTCCGGCTAAGTTACACAGCCCAGGAAACACCACATGGAAAGTCCGACAAACGTCAGTAGTGGACACCACAGACCCTGCGTGTTTGAACATTATCTGACACGCCAATTACTCATCGCAGTGTGACCTGCACGTCGTCACAGTGCTGGGTGACCGCTTCCCTCAGTGACAGGAAGAGCTAACTGGTACTGCCCGCTCAGCTTGTGCTCGACATCACAGGAATTCAAACTCAGTCCCACAGCCGGGTCAGGTTCCAGATGACGGGCCGGGTTCCCAGGAGGTGGAGGACACCTCCCAGACCGCACGGTGAGGAAGGGGCCATCCTGCCCGGCCGCTGTGCCACCGCTCTCCAGAAGGGGACAGAGATGGGAGTGAGTGGGTCCCCTGCGTCTCATCTGCCAGCTGGGTGGAAGAGAGAAAGTGCTGACGCGATCCAGCTGCTGTAGTTCACGCTGCTGGACTGAAGATGGAGCCAGAACCACCGGCCAGACGCAGCCAAGTCCACACCTCGGTGTGACCAGACGTGGGTCTGGTGTGCCTCGGAGTCCTCGGAAAAGCTATCTGTGCACAACAGGGCTTCAAACAAAACCTGGGGTTCATTTCAAACTCAGAAAAAACGTTTTATGCCAAGAATTCTCCTCTCATCAGGAAAAACACCAAGACTTGTCAAGATCCAGTTTTAAGGGTGAGGAAAGCCCCGGTAACCATGGTACTTCAACCACGTCCAGTACTGCACTTCCTGACTAAAGGGACACTGCACATCGCGCCACCTATGGCTCGTCACGAACCGCTGTCGATAAAGACTTCACTGCTGTGACAGCCGCCCAGCCCAGTCTCAGCGAGCAGGCAGGCCACTCAGGCCCGGGCCGGTCCTGAGTCAGCCTACACCAGCTCTCCTGCAGAGACGCTACAGAAATGTGAGAGGCAACACTCAGAAGGAGAAACCCGGAGATGGAAGGACGCTTTGAAGTTCTTGGCTCCTACCCTCTCATTTGCTAATGAAGAAACTGAGGCTCTGAACAGTGGCCACTAACTGGGGACGCAGCTGGGCCCAAAAGCTGATCACTACTGCCCTGGCTCTGCGTGACAAACAGGGACCTGCCTCCACATATGGGACGGACTAGGGCGTGGGCCCTCCTCCATCAGGGGATCCTCCCCCACCTGGCGGACTCACCCGGGGCCAAGGGGACCCTCCTCCACCTGGGGGCCCACCCGGGGCGCAGGGGGCCTCCTCCAACCAGGGGTCTTTAGGGTGTGGGCTCCTCCATCTAGGAGCCCACCCGGGGCGTGGGCCCTGTCCCTCGGGGCGGCCTCCCGTCCGCTCTGCCCTGGGGCGGGAGCAAGCCCAAGCCTGGCCCAGAGCCGCTCACGTCCGCCAGCCCGTCAGCCCAGCGCCCGCCGCCGCGGCCGAGGGAAGGGGCCAGGGCCGAGGCCCCGCCTGCCGCCGCCGCAGGTCGCCGTCCCCGCCCGACCTCGCCTCGGGGGCTCACCGGACCGCGCTGCGTGCTGACGGTGGTCGCCATGGTGCTGCGGCCGCCCCGCCGACCCGAGAGAGGCCAGACGAGCCCTCGCGCCCCGGGGGAGCCTGCGACGCCAACGGTCGTCACCGCGAGGCCGCCGCCGCCACAGTCAGCTGACGGCCGCCGCGCCCCGCCCCCGGCACCGCCCCACTGCGCAGGCGCCACGCCCAACACCGCCCCTTCCGGTTCCCTCGCGCACGCGTGCTGCCGGCCCGGGCGGGGCCCCGCCTCCCGGAGGGCGCCTGCGCAGTCGCTCTCCGCTTGAGGTTGGCGGCCCCGCGAAATGGCTCCCTGGGCGTCTGCGCATGCCCAAGCTCAGACGCCCTGCGCCTGCGCCGTGGGGACGGTCCGGGCTGGGCCGTGGGCTCCGCTCGGAGAGGCGCCGGGGAGCGAGTCAGGCCCTTTGTCTGCCGCGAATCCTCCAACGGAAGTGCGTCTGTGTTCATGTTGTTAACACAGGAGTTGGGTGCAGGGGCGAAGCGTGCGGGCTGGACGGGGTGGGGCGGCGAGTCGCCGGCCCTCCTCTCTTCCCCTTCCCCGCTCCTCCTCTCCCCTCCTCCTCCCTCCTCCTTCCCTTCCTCTCCGCGTCCCCTCCCCTCCGCTCCCTTCCCGCCAGCTCCGCCCCGTCTCCTCCCCTCCCCTCCCCCGACACCTGTCCCCACCCCGACTCCGTGGAGAAGGTGGGGGCGGTGGGTTCTCAGGGCGTTCTCTGTCCTCGTCCCCGTCCGCTGCCCCAGAACTGACGGCCACTCCCGCTAGAGACGCTTTCTTCCCGGGGCCTCGAAGACCCCGCGTTGGGGTCTGGGTTTCAGTCTCTCCTCTGGCTCGGTCCCCGGCCCCGTCTCCGTCCACGCGCGGCGAGCGCGGTGCGGCGCCCTGGGCCCCTGCGCGGGCGGCCCCGAGCGCTGTCCCGCCGGCCCTGCGGCCCGGGCAGTGTCCTGCACGCGCGGAGCACGTCTCAGGGCGGATCCCACCCCCGGCCCACGTCCTCGCGCAGTCCTCTCCTCCGGAGGGTGGACGGGGCGCGCCTCGCTTCCAAACGACAGAGCACGGTGCGGGGACGGGCCGTGGCCGCGGAGGACCCCGCACCCCGCAGGACCGCATCCTGCCCAGAACGTGCTCGCGGGGCCTCCCGCCGCCGCCTCTGGAGGAGCGAGACGCCCCGAGTCCTCAGCTCGAGGGACGTGCTGCGCCCGGACGGTGCACCCGCGGCCTTTCTCGGAACCGAGAGGGCGCGTGCTGCAGCGCGTCCTCGGACCTCCGCGTTCCCGGAATTCCAGAAGAAAAGGAGAGAACGCGGCGGAACGTTCGCAGAAGCGACGGCGGGAACGGCCCCAGTGGAGCACAGCGCCACCCCGCGTGCGTGCGGAACGGAGCGCTTGGGCGCGCCGCGTTCCCGCTGCCGGTGGCCAAAGAGCAAATCCCCGACGCGGCCAGAGGAAAAGGCACGTTACACGCGGAAGAATAGACTAGAACGACGGGCTTCGGGTTGGAAACGACGCAAGCCGTGCGACAAAGGTGACATCTTTAAAGTGCTGAAAGAAAAAACCTGGAATTCTGTGCCAGCTGAAATATCTGTCTAAATGATACGGTGACGCAGCTCGGAACAGGGGTTGTCTGTGTGTTGGGGACAGGGAGGGTAGGTGGACCAGGGGACAAGGAGGGGACTCCAGGGTGGTAGGAAGATCGTACGTCTTGATGGAGGGAGTGGTTACACTAATGTGTAAGCTTCGAAAAACACACTTGACTGTTTACTTAGGATCTGCGTTTTTGGTGTATGTGAATTTTATCCCGATGAAAAGTTGATGACGAAAAGAAAACATTTTCTATGTGTACCACAGGGTTAGTCTAAATTTAGGCCTCACAAATTTACAAGAAGAAATAGCAAAACACTAGGCAAAGGAGGAAACTGTTTGAACGGTGTCCCTGCCTGCATGGAAACATGCAAAAGACTCTACGGACCAGTGACTAGAGATGGGGATTTAACAAGGGGACTCAAAAACCAACGGCGAGTTGTATTATTCAGGGTGTGACGTGTTTGATGTCACATTTGCTACAGAGGTCTTAATACGTGGTTACTTGCAAGGGTACGGCAGGACTAACGGGACAACCGGCCTGGTGAAGCGTCTGAGGACGGACAGGGCAGGCACGTCCACCCTGCGGCCTGAGAGCAGTGCAAGGACAGCCCAGTGAGAGGTGGACGCCTGGCAGGAGCCTTAGGCGGGAACACGGCCACTGCCAGACTGGAGACCTGCCAAGCCAGGGAAGGAGACACAGGAACGTCCGGTCTCCTCTGCCACCTCCGATCACCTGCCAGAGCCTCGTATCGGCCGATCCCGGCGAGGACACGGAGAAGGGGCCCAGGTGGCGTGGTCTGCAGGAAGCAGCCTCCCCCGGCGCACGGGCCAGGGTTGCGAAAGGTGGTGTATCAGTCCTGTCTTCTGTGTGGCCGGCTGCCCCGAAATTTGGTGCTTTACAACAACAAGCATTTATGTGATCACAATTCTGGGCAGTTCTGGTCTGGTTTGGGTTGAGTTCACGTCTGAGGGCCTCGTCAGTTTGGTAGATTAACTGGAGTCTGGCAGCTCCCAGAGAGCCTCACTGGCGTGCCTGGCCCTGGCCTGTGGCCCTGGGGTCAGTGGGCCACATGTCTCCCGTGATGCTGTAGCGGTGCCCGAGTCTCTTCAGATGGCACCAGGGTTCCAAACGCAGCAGGAGATCGAGCCCTGGCGTGCAAGGTTTTCAGACGATCCCTCCTGTCTCGTCTGCTAATGCTACGTGGCCAGAGCAGGTCCCTGGCCAACCCAGATCAAAGGCATGAGGAAACGGACCCACTCTTTATAGGAGGGAAAACGGGTCCCGATTTTGCAGTCGGGCACAGCTGGAGGGTGGATCGGGGATGGGAGCAAATGGGAAAAAAACAGTCACACTTTGCCCCTCAGCATCCACTGTCATTGTTTTCATTTTTTATTGAGACGTAGTATTCTACACAGTTATGGGGTCCATGTGACATTTTGTTACATGCTCAGCCTTGTAATGACCAGGTCAGGGTATTTGGGGTGTCCATCATCTTGAGTGTCTATCGTGTCTACGTGCCAGGAATAACTCAGGTCCTCTCCTGCCTGCTCACTGCAGTCACCCCAAACACTGGAGCCTATTCCTTCTGTCTAACTGCATGTTTATGCCGGTTAGCCAACCTCTCCTCCCCCCCCCACTCCAATCACACACCCTCCCCCGCCTCTGGTAACCATTCCATTCTCCACCTCCATGAGATGAACTTTTTTAGCTCCCACGCAAGAGTGAGAAATGCAATATTTGTCTTTCTGTCCCTGGCTGATTTCACTTACCATAATGACCTTCAGTTCCACCGATGTTGCCACAAATGACAGGATTTCATTCTTCTTATGGCGGAATAGTATTCCTTTGTGTATGTACACCACATCCTCTTCATCCATTCACCCACTGACGGACATGTAGGTGGATTCCACAGCTTTGCCATGGTGAATGTGCCGCAGTGAACATGGCAGTGCGGTATCCCTGTGGCATTCTGATTTCTCTTCCTTTGGATAAATACTCCGGAGTGGGATTGCTGGACTGTAGCGTAGTTCCACTTTCAGTTTTTTGAGAAATCTCCACGCTGTTTTCCATAAGGGCTGTACTAATTTACCTTCCCACCAACAGCGTGTAACTGTTCTCTTTCCTCCACACCTCACCGGCACCTGTTATCTTTTGTCTTTTTGCTAATAGCCACTCTGATGGGGGTAAGATGATACCTCGTTGTGGTTTCAATTTGCATTTCTCTGATCATTAGTGATACTGAGCATTTTTTCATGTGCCTGTTGGCCATTTGTGTGTCTTCTTTTGAGAAATGTCTGTTCATGCCCTTTGCCAACTTTTTAATGGGATTATTTGTATTTCTACTGTTGAGTTGTTCAAATTCCTTGTATGTTCTGGATTTTAGTCCCTTGTCAGAGGGATAGCTTGCAAATATTCTGTCCCAGTTAACGGGTTGTCTCTTCACTCTATTGATTGTTTCCTTCGCTGTGCAGAAACTTTTTAGTTTAATGTAATAATTTGTCTATTTTTGTTTTTGTTGTCTGTGCTTTTGAGGTTTTAGCCATTAAATCTTTGCCTAGACCAATGTCCTGAGTTTTTTCCCTAGGTTTTCTTCTAGTAGTTTTATAGTTTGGGGTCTTACAAGTAAGTCTTTAATCTATCTTGAGTTCACTTTTGTATATGGTGGGAGATGCCCTATCTCTCTAGTTTCATTCCTCTGTATATGGATATCCAGTTTTCTCAGCACCATTTATCGAAGAGGGTGTCCTTTCCCTAATGTATATTCTTGGCACTTTTATTGAAAATCAGTTGGTTGTGTGTATGTGGATTTATTTCTCAGTTCTCTATTCTGTTCCATTGTTCTGTGTGTCTCCTTTTATACCAGTGCCATGCTGTTTTGGTTACTATACCTTTGTAATATAGTTTGAAGTCAGGTAGTGTAATGCCTCCAGATTTGTTCTTTTTGCTTGGTATTGCTTTGGCTATTCAGGCTCTTTTTTTGTTCCATACAAATTTTAGGATTGTTTTTCTATTTCTATGAAAAATGATATTGATATTTTGATAGATATTGCATTGAATCTATAGATTGCTGTGGGCATTTGTGGTCATTTTAACAATCTTAATTCTTCCAGTCCATGAGCATGGGATGTCTTTCCATTTGTTTGTGTCCTCTTCAATTTCTTTCATCAGCGTTTCGTAGTTTTCCTTGTGGAGATCTTTCACCTCCTTGGTTACATTTATTCCTAGATATTTTATTTTTTTGTAGCTATTGTAAATGGAATTGTCTTCTTGATTTCTTTCTCAGTTGTTCCATTATTGGTGTTTAAAAACACAACTGAGTTTTGTATGTTGATTTTGTATCCCGGAATTTTACCAAATTTATTTATCAGATCTAAGAGTTTTTTGTGCATGGCTGTGTGTGTGTATTTCTAGGTGCATGTGGATGTGTGTGTTTGTGCATGGCTGTGGGGGGGGTGTGTGTTCGTGCACAAGCACACACACACACACCCCTAGAAATACACACCACAGCCATGCACAAACACACACACACAGACACACACACAGTCACACACACTCCCCAAGAAAAAAGAACGGAAAAGA